TCGTGTCTTGTATTTGGCATTTGGTGATATATATATATATATATATATATATATATATATATATATATATATAATGTATGTATAATGGTAGAAAACAATAGGGAAACTGTATTATTAGCCGACGTATTTCGCTCAATGTGGACTTTTTCAAGGCTAAAACGAAATGAATTTATTGAAAACAAAGTAACTATTAACAACGGACAAAATGTCCTTAGCAACTAGAAGAATTTAGAAAAACACTATTGTATTCATATTGTCAACTGAAAATTACGTCAAGTACTATCACGTGTAGGATTATTGTTTTTCTTGTTACGTTGCGGGATTCAAGCATTTTCTTTTGATTTCTTAATACAATAGTGTCCGTTGCGTTGGGAAAGTAGTAATTCTGTTAGGAAAGTTGATATTGGGGAAAAAAAAACAGGGACGTCTTTTTTCTACGGGTTAACTCTAAGAAAATGTTTTACATACATATATATATATATATATATATATATATATATATATATATATATATATATATATATTGTTGTGGTAGATTCAAGTCAAATATAAAGATTTTATTTTGTATCAATATTTATAAACAGAACTAAAAATGTCGTGAAGATTTCAATATTTCGAAATTTCACAACGGTCATGAATATACTTCAAACTATTTGTGAAAATCAAGGTAGACGATGGACGATGACAAGTGATGCTATTTAGGTACTAAATAACATTTTAGGTACTAAATAACATCTTTCTTTTGCCTTTACTCTAATTGTCTTTTTTATAGATATATATTATTTATATCTGTATTTTTATACTTCCACAGACACACAAACATATTATATATATATATATATATATATATATATATATATATATATATATATATATATAGATAGATAGATAGATAGATAGATATTAGGTTTGTAACATAAAATGCCGCATTTTTGTTTGGTTGTTGATCCTGTCGTCTAACGATCTAACCTCCTCAGTATATAAAAAAAAATGTCTAGACTTATTCCTGACTCTTTTTCTTGCTGGATAATTTTTCATTCTGTATATTGTTACCCATAAGCCCAATGAAAATGATTACAATAAAACAATATCGAGTTATCTTACTGTATCCTTTCCCGACTGGCAAAAGCAACATGCGATGAGAAATGGATAATCTTTGACAAAAGTAAGAGGTCAAATGCAAGTGAAACATCAAAATAATACACCAAACCTCCACTGCACTCTAAAGTAATGTTTACTGTATGGTGGTCTTTCAAAGGGGTTATTCATTATTCATTCTTGCCTCAAAGGAAAGCAATGATAACAACCTCATACTGTGTCTAAATTTGGTGCATGACGAAAAAATTGATGGCACAATTTTGTTGCATGACAACCTACAGTTGCTACCCAATCAATAGTCCAAAAGCTGCATAGCTTGAATTATGAATAATTTTGCATCATCCTCCTTATTCGCGTGATATATCTCCTACTATATATCACTTATTTAAGCATTTTGAGCTTTTCATACGCAATAAGAACTCTGCAATAAGGAAGACCTAATGGAAGCATTTGAACACTTTATTACATCAAAGGATAAGAATATTTTTTTTAAAGATGGGACCAAGAATTTAGAGACATGTTGGAGAAAAGTCCTTCATCCAAATGGTGCTTATTTCAACTAAATAAATTAGTTATTTAACATTTCAATAGGTTTTTATTTATTTCCTATAATGTGCGACATTTCCTGTGTGACAATCTAGTTTGATATATATATATATATATATATATATATATATATATATATATATATATATATATATATATAATTATTTATTTAAAAACATGATTCCAACACGCTACATAAGAGTTCTCATGTTTCAAAACAAGAGCCGAAAACTTCAATATAATTATTGGAATTAAATTGAATTAAAGTACTAATATAATTCAAAACAATTTGTTTTAAAACATGAGAACTCTTATATAGGGTGTTGCAATCATATTTTTAAATAAATAATTATATTTATGCTCTACGTTTGTATCGAGCACTATTTTTAAAAAATAATAACAAAAATACTAAAGAAATTTGGATTATTTACCTAACGAGTTCTTTCCTTTTTTCTATATATTTTACACACACACACACACACACACACACACACATATATATATATATTGTGTATTTAGACAGCAATTCTTTATATATGTTTCGTAAGAGACAATAGACAAGGTACACCAATTAAGGTTTTCATTTAATTTTTCTTATGTTCGAACAAGTGCTTTTTTTATTTTTATTTTTTTTTATATATAATGTGTAGAAACTGTCCCAATGTTCTATAATTCCGTCAAGGATAATTTAATTTTTGTTTTTTAATTGGGTGTGTGGGTTGTGTGTATGTTTCTAGAGTTATACGGATGTTTTATTTTCCGAACACGGCATATTATGGCCGTGTTCGTATTTAATATTACTGAGTGTTGAGTTTATTATGTTTTTAATAAACATTTGTTATGTATTTTCTACTAGTATGTTTCGGATGGAATCTGGCAATGTGTGTGTGTGTGTGTGTGTGTGTGTGTGTGTGTGTGTGTGTGTGTGTGTGTGTATTTATATGGGTTCTAATGGAGCTGTGGTCAGATAGGTGTAACGTAAGGCGTCTAGATAGACATGTAGTCGTTTGACTGACATAATTATTTACGAATTCGGTTTGATCAGGAACACACTTTCTCAAGGGGCATTTGAACTCATAGATAATGTTCGTTCGTTGTAAATTTTGCTGGTGTGTTGTTATTTTTGAGAATAAGATTAGCTGTTTTATATTTTCTGTAGTAGATAATTAATTTGATTTTTTTTCCGGACCAATTGAGTCAATGTATGTTCTAAGTGAAGATTCGTCTTGTTTGTAGTTGGCGTGCATTTGGCTTTTGTCGAAAATATTTATGTTATTTTTGACTGCGTGTCTGCTATCATTGTTATTTACTTTGGGAAGAAATAGTCTAATTTGGTGGTCTTATAAGATGTTTAGGGAAGCCATTGTTAACTTTGAATCTGTTTTCCATTGCTGAGTTCTTTAAGGAAGAGTAGACAAGAGGATGAATTCTGGTGTGCTTTTTTTATTAAGTTTTTTATCACTATTTTGTATCTGAGTAGATATTCAATCTTAAAGTTAAGTTAGCAAGAGTTTCTGCTAATGGGTTTTTTATACAGTGAGGTGATAAAAATGTTGTTACTGTATTCTATGAGAACGTCTAAAAATGGCAGTTTATTTATTTTGACTAAGTTCGTAGGCGAAGTTAAGGACAGAGATGTTTTTTAAATGTGGTCCTGACAGTGTTTCTTTTGTGTTATTTGCTAAAATAAAAATATTGTCTACGTAGCGGACATATATTTTAGTCTTACAGACCTGTTTAAATATCATGTTTTCTACATTGGACATGTAATAATTAGAGAAGTACGGGCCGAGCGGATTTCCCATACTAAGACAATTAGCTTTGGTGTAGATGTTGCCATTATGGTCATAGAATGGGACTTTGGTTGTGCATGCATGTAGTAATTTTTTGAGTATGAATAAATTTGATGGATAGCGGTACAGGTATTAAATTAATATAATATATATATATATATATATATATATATATATATATATATATATATATATATATATATATATACAAATGCTTAGAGGTACAAAATTTATATATAGTTTTAAAAACAATCAATGTATTGATTTTAATTTTAAAAGTCTCTAAGGGCCTTTCAACCAACATCTCATCAGGAGAGAATCGTTGGATAATTAATCAACGAAAAGAATATTAACGACAATGAAGAGCAAAAAACGGGGGGGGGGAAACACACTAAAATAACAAACAAGTGTATATACTTGTAACGAGGGGAGGGGAAATAACGTGTAAATAAATAAGGGAGGGACAGTTAAAATAAAATATCCCCCAAACAGATTAAGAGACTTTACAAATCTTTCTGCCGACAGAGAGAAGGTTTCCTTAATCCTATGCAGACCGACGGAAACACAGACCTAGTTCGAAAAATGCTACGTAAAGCAACTGATGGGAAACAACCGGAAACCGACTTGCTATCCTGCTTAATTAAGCTTTGACCCCTATCCCCAATCCAGGGAATTTTCAAATACACCGGACATTTACCTCTTATTTCTGAAATTTTCTTATAAAACACGTAAATTTCAGAAATAAGTTATTCCAAAAAAATTTCGCTTGAAGATGGAACAGAGCTTAGTATTTTAATTCAATTTAATTCCAATAATTATATTGAAGTGTTCGGCACTTGTTTTGAAACATGAGAACTCTTATGTAGCGTGTTGGAATCATATTTTTAAATAAATAATTATATTTATGCTCTACTTTTGTATCGAGCACTATTTTTTAAAAATAATATTAAAAATACTAAAGAACTTTGGATTATTTACCAAACGAGTTCTTTCCTATTTTCTATATATTTTACACACACACACACACACACACACACACACACACACACACACACACATATATATATATATATAATTATTTTAATAATTTTATTGAAGAGATATTTCTCTCGTTACAATAAATTTGTTTTTTTTTCTTTCTATCATTTTCAAAGATAATCCATTTAACGTTTTAAGCGAGGAATGAATTGTTTGTGTACGCTTCTCGAAACCCGGGTGATTAAAATATGAATTTTTATTAGTGAATGTTTGGCAATCATTTGCTAAATGTTTGAATTGAGATCAATCGTTTTGCAGAGGACACTACCGGACGCTGTTTCTCTTTCATCCACGTGAATGACTGTTATTTGTTCTACAACTAGGCAACATCAGCCGCCTGCCTTGACGCTGTTATTAACAAAGGATTATTCCCCGGGCGTTTCTTAACATCGCAGTCGACACTTAATTAGTGGACAAACTCAATAAGACAAAATCTAAGATAAATGTATTTGTCTCAAACGAAAGGACAGGGTTGAAAATGAAAGAAATTCTATGGATAAGCTAGAAAATCTTTCGTTTGTGACAATGTTGTTCAGAGAATGTCAAATAATTCAGTCTCTCTTTCTCTCTCTTCCCTCTCCTTACCTATATCTATCTCAGTTTATGAATATCTATCTATCTATCTATCTATCTATCTTAGTTTGTACATATATATTTATCTATCTATCGATCTATCTATCGCAAACCATGTATCTATTAATTTATCTCAGCCTGTTCATATCTATCTATCTATCTATCCATTTATCTACCTATCTGTCTGATCATATCTATCTCAGTCTGTTTTTATCTATCTATCTATCTATTGTTATGGGGTCCACCCCTTTTTCATACAAGTGTACTCCACCAGTGTGTACTTGTACTGCTGCCGGTGACTAACCGGAAGTCAGAGAGTGATACAGTGATAGAGTGAGTAACAGAGATACACTGATACAGTGAACAGTGAGAGAGTAAGAGTGTGAGGTAACCGCTTTGTAGGTGTCACAGATGCGAGCACGTAGACTCAGAAGGAAGTCATACTTCGATACTGAATTTCCCAGACTATATATATATATATATTATTATTGCAACTAACCGTATTTCTGGATCTACTGTATTACCAATTGTATTATTACGTCAATACATTTATTTGCTATATTTCATTCCTGCGTTTGTCAATCATTTTGAGACTGGATTTCATCCCGGAATCCACAACATCTATCTATCTATCTATCTATCTATCTATCTATCTATCTATCTATCTATCTATCTATCGCAAACTATGTATCTATTAATCTATCTCAGCCTGTTCATATCTATCTATCTATCTATCTATCTATCTATCTATCTATCTATCTATCTATCTCAAACCATGTATCTACTAATCTGTCTCAGCCCGTTCATATCTATGTATCTATTAATTTATCCCAGCCTGTTCATATCTATCTATCTATCTATCTATCTATCTATCTATCTATCTATCTATCTATCTATCTATCTCAAACCATGTATCTATTAATCTGTCTCAGCCCGTTCATATCTATGTATCTATTAATTTATCCCAGTCTGTTCATATCTATCTATCTATCTATCTATCTATCTATCTATCTATCTATCTATCTATCTATCTATCTCAAACCATGTATCTATTAATCTGTCTCAGCCCGTTCATATCTATGTATCTATTAATTTATCCCAGCCTGTCCATATCTATCTATCTATCTATCTATCTATCTATCTATCTATCTATCTATCTACTTTCATGCTTAATTGCATATGTAGTTTAGTTATAATTATTTAGACAGCCTATTGTATTTTTCTAACTTCCGGCCAATGCTTTCTTACTCAGATTATATCTGTCATTTCTCATGCTGTACAGACAAGCGAACAGAGACTACACTCTCTTTTCTATATATTTCGTTGGCGCATATATCCACTTGTTCGAAACCTCTGAGTGTAACTTGCATGTAACTATCCAGGAATTCTTTTCGTAATTACCTGCGATTCTTTGTTTTTCCGTGGCCTTTTCTTATATTAAATTCTAACTTAGTGTGATATCACCTCGATCTTCTGATATCGGCTGTAAAGAAAATTTTTCTTCGTTGCTCAGATGTTCTGCGCATCGTATTCGCAGCATTCATTCTTAGAATCACTCCCCCGTGTCGCTTCAAACATCTTCTCAGTCCGTTAGGATATTGAAGGGAATTTGATTTCCAAAACAAAACTGCTCACTTTCAATTGTCAGAGACAATCTTTTTTGCCTTCCAACAGCATGGCTGATGCTAACATTCGGGGTTCATTGCGCCTTTGTGGGACAACGTTTTCCGTTCGCGTGAAGTGGATAACTATATTGAAGCAATTGTTAGGTATGCTGATAGAAAATTTGGTTTACTGTTTTTTTTCTTTTCTTTTCTTTTTTTTTTTTTTTTTTTTTTTTTTTTTGTAAGACAATCGCTAGTATCTATCTCACAAATTTATAAATCTGCCATTCGTCTAGGCATTGCATATTGGTATTATATTTAATCTGGTACTTATGTTACGTATTTAGAGATTATCCAAAGACTATCCAAAGAAGAAATCTGTGATTTTATTGGTTCTGACATCGCATCTCGGTTCAAGACGTCGTAACGCAACTTTCCAGTACCCTTTCTATAAATATTTCTGGCGAGTTTTCCGCTTTGGTACCTAAACTTTATGAATTGAAGCGTTGTACTAGATTGGAAGCAAGGTCTCATCATTTTAGAGTTGAAACGGCTAGCTGCAAACATAAGTTCTAGGCAAATAGTTTATTTTCACACACTTCTCGTTTGTTAAACCTTCTAGCTTTCCAGGCAACTATCGTCTTTAAGATTTTAAACACAATGTCAATCTTTATCTTCTGTCTTCTTAATTCCTGTTCTTTTATTGTTCTCTCTCTTTAACAATGCTTTCTTTTCCTCATATTCTTTCACAGTCTGTAAGTTTTTTCTTTCTTGGGATGATTTTAATGATTGGTTTGGTTTACGGCATATCAACTCCTTATGGGTCATTGAATGACGAAATTTAATTTCTTGTATGATTTGGTGATTTTTATTTCGCTATTAAAATCTATTTGTCGGGAATTTTCACTATAAAAATGTATTTTTATACTTTCACAGTCATTTGACACCAGTGTGGGTGTTCACTATTTGCCTAGATTTGGGGCCCTAACAGGCGCTACCACCGCAGCTCAGGGTGGACCTGGGAACATCAACAACAATTAAGAGATGGTTCCACCCTTTTCAAAACCTCCCAATTGGAGGCCTTTCTGCCGGATGTAGTGAAATTATTTAAAAAAGATACACTTTCACATCCTCCATTAATGAGGTTAAGAAATTTTTTTTTAATCCACTGTGTATGCTGCTACTATTGTGTAAATCTTAACTGATGTTAATATACATCAAATTTATTCACACTCGTCTCCTGGCCTGCGCACGCGAGGAAACTTAATAATAAAAATGTGCCCTTCAGAAGGATTCGAACCTGCATCTTTTCGCTATTATTTTTTCTCAAGTGTGCAGGCTATATTTTCTTTATTTGTCTCATATAAAATGCTAGAAAACAAACCCCGATCTATACTAGAAAGAGTTATAACAGTTATTGGATCTTGGGAAACCTTTTCTGTAAAAAAAAAGAAAGATTTTATAACGCTTACTCTTCAGCCACTTTTAAACACTTCTCTACATCCTGTAGCAAGGTCTCCAATTTAATTATTTTTGTTGTTCTCAGGTCCACCCTGAGCCGCGGTTGTAGCACCTGTTAGGGTCTTCAGCCAATAAATGCCACATGCTTACTGAATGGAAATAGTTAATCTCAACATTACAATGTGTTTCGTTTCTCTTCGGTCAGCGGTTTTCAAGATTTAATTGTTAGGCTTTACTGCTAGTTAGTAAACACCAGATAAATTATCTTAAAGTATACTATACACCGTCCTGATGATGTGTCGCCTTGGCGTGGAAGGGCGGCTTGCGTGCTTCAACGATACCCAGAGCTATACGGGCGGGGGCTTCGGCCCTTAGCAGGTCCAAAAAGAGACATGCTGACCTCCAGGTTGGAGGTTGTGCAGTAGACTAACAAGCTACTCTCTAGCTTGTTGCAGAAACCTCAACGATATATTCAAGCAACAATATGGCTGAGAAAGAGTCCTCCAGCGTGAAGCGTATGAAGCGTGCTGGTGAAAATGCTCCCGGGAAGGCAGCCGGCACGACATGGGCAGAGCTGAAGAGGATCGCCCGGAACAGGGTCCGTTGGAGAGGTGTTGTTGAGGCCCTGAGTTCACCAAGGAATTAAGAGGCATAAAGAAAATGAATGAAACTATTTTTTTTTTTTGTAGCCGCCTAAGCTATGGTTTGTTTCCATTTTTTCTTATATGTAGCTTCCCGCCAATGGAACACACGCACAATTGAGTAAAGTTTCAGGTGTTCTCTCTCCAAAAGTGTCAAACTTCGTTTATTTATTCATACACTGATGTCTTTTTTTTTCAGTGACAAAGTATCTAAAAGTATTTGTCATCTTATATAAAAGGAAATCGCAAGCGACGTTCTCAGTAGTGATCATTCTTGCATCTGCATTCGTGGATACAGAGCAGATGAACCACCTCGGGCATGGTAGCTTGATGAATAAAAACGACATATAAAAGAAGCCGTATTTATGATACACATCATCCACAGCCTCACATATCCAGTCGTTGTCTTGAATAGAACTACGCTTACGGCCATATGACGTCGAAGCACCGGTTCGCGTCCGATCACCAATGTTAAGCAACCTCCAGCCCAGCCAGTACCTGGATTGGTAACCGATTGGGAATGTGTTGAAAACATGCATGTTCGGGTGGTGTAATGGATAATGGCTCGGGGTGAGAAATCCGAGTTCAAATTCCAGTCAGGTTCGTTACATTCTCATACGCAAATAGCCTTTGGCGACCAGGAATCGATGATATACATGATTAGCCATGTCTCTCATCCTCTTCCCTGAATTTGAGCTGGGGACAGCCTACGCCCCCCAAAAGACATTCACAGGCTGAGAAGAATAAGGATACTATGTGTTATGGTCCAAGTTCCTTGTATCACGGTGATGGTCCAAGGTTAGAACGAATGAAAGAATAACACGAACATAGGTATGGAATACAAAGATATATTACAACAGAAATATAATACAAAGAAGTAGAAATATTAGTAATGACTATCAGATTTGGTTAGAGTGAACTATGTTGTCTCAACAAGTATCACTATTCCAATGTCCTTACAATATGCTCTCAATTATCTCTCCTCGTCTTACAATAGGCATCATACCTCTTGAGAGGTGCAGTATTTATAATGTCAGGAATAGTATATTATTATTATGGGTAAGTTCCCATAACACTATGGTAACATTTAATCACAAGGAACTATACCAAACAGAGATCACATTACGGTACTTCTAAACTTCTCGACCCACTCATACAGACTTTTACGCTGAAGTGCACTGTCTCTATATTACGTTAAAAACATCCGATAAATAACAGCCCCTAACACAATTACGGATCAGAGAAATCGAATATCTGCTTTTTGTTCCTCTTTGATGCACACTTCAAATACACTTTCTCTTTATTATTTTTCAGAAATATATACTTTTTATAAATGAATAAAGGTTCGCAGAATGTATTGGGTCGAGTTATTTCATGACAAATTCTAAGCAGAAAGTTCAATTCCGAATTAATTAGTGACAAATATTTCTTCCAGGCGTAGAAGATATACAAAAGTATATTTTCAATAAGTATTAATTCGAGTAAATATCTCTATAAAACGAGAATAAGTTAACAGAACCAATTCATTGCGTCTAATACAAAAACATCCCAGCAGAAAATTTTGATAAACTTTCAAAATATAAAAACATGGAAATAGTAAATGCAGAAATGTATGTAAAACACAAACAGAATCCTGATAATACTAGGAGCACTAGGAAGGAGTAAAAAGCGTGCTTATATTCTTACATACACTAAGAAAATCTTATGAATTCCATCACGATTAAAAATACAGGGTGCCCCCCAAAAAACGGGAACTATTTAACAATCCAATAAAACCAAGAGTGACGGAAGAAAATTATTTTATTCATAGCAATTGAAACCTTAAAACATGCCATTTAAGAAACAATGGAATTTTCATTTTTTTAAAATTACGTCCTGCAGATGGCGTCCTCCTGTACGAATGCATTCTTGTAATCTGCTGTTGAGATTCCTCATTGACTGCTGCAACATCTCAGCTGGGATACTGTGAATTTTATCTTGAATTCTAAAAGTCACTGTCTCGGAGTCTTGCCACTTGTTCATGTCTGGCAATACGTACTTCAAAAATTCCCGTTTTTTTGGGTCACCCTATATATCAGAAAAGAAGCATAGCTTCTTTTCGGATATTCAGAAAAAAAACCCTCACAATGTAACATGTTCATATGTAATATGTTTCTAAGCAAAACCCTTTTTCAGATACAAGATAAAAGACTTGGCAAAGGATTTTATCAAAACGCTACGAGAGAAAACCGGAGATAGTAATATTAATAATAATAACTGAAAATAAGATTTATGTCAGGCCATTCGATGAGTGCTAACGGTATCCTAGTACTAAGTGCTGCATAGTCAGGTCATCGGCGACGAAAATCGTCCTCATTTCATCCCAAGCAAGGCAATAATGCCACTAAGACGCAAGGACTTACTAACAGTGAAAGAGAATGAGAAGACGTTACCGATGACAAAATGAGAAGACCTTATCGAGGACAAAAGAAGAATAAAAGAACAAGTCTTAGGAAGACCTAATATGGGGATTCATATTCGGTTGAATGTTTTTGAAGAATGTATTTGTCAGAGAAGCAAGAAATCGCGTTCCACACGGGAGAAGTACGGGAAAAACTATTAGAATTAAAATTACGGTTATATCCAGCTATTTTGACAATAAAACCACAAGACCTATTCGCCAATCTAGAAGTACAATTAAATTCATGCGGCCAAGATATCAAGGAGGGGGGTATCTGTACAATTGGCAATATTTATATAGACTAGAATTTTGGCAACACGCGTCAGTATTTAATAATGTTGAAGTTATCACTAACATTTTTGTAGAGAGTTACCAACTCTTTCGTTCAATTTCGCAAAACAATCGATAAAATTTCAATAAGCTGATTTGTTTTCAAAATTCTTTGACAAAAAAACCCTATTTGTGGTTTAATACTTTCTTTAATTTAATTTAAGAGAACTTCATGGTAAACAATATTTTTAAGAAAATTTATTTCTTCCATTTTAACTGCAAAGAATAAATTCTTAGGATTTCTTACTCTTGAACATGGAACATACTACTGGCCATGCGTAAATATTTCTTTCTGAAGCCAAATTCCATCATTTGAAGCAGTTGGCCTTGTGATTTGCTTATAGTTCTCACAAGCACGACGAACCGGAAAATTGCAAATAAAAACATAAAGAAATGATATGTAAAAAAGAATATTGCATTAATTATGTATTTGTTATTTTAATCATTAAATTGTTTTTTTTTAAATAGTGGGAGTATATTGTATGTTAAATAATAAAACTTTTAAATTTTCCATAAAGTTTAATGGAAATTTCTTGTACTAAGCTACGCACCTTAGTAAAACCAAATGTACTTTCCACAGCCTTAACGGTTTATATTCTCCGAAAAAATTGCATTCGATTGGTCAATGTATTGCTATTTTAGAGGGTCTGATAGACGGACTAACGGAAGTCACAGAATGTTATATATAGATTACCGTAAGAATTAGGATTCAACAGAAAGTTCAAATTGGAAAGCCGCTATATTTTCATGGGTATAGGAAAAACAGAAAGCCTGAATAAACTTAAAGATAAGCTTCATTCCACATTATAAATACAAGTGGAAAAAATCAACTGCTTATATCTACAGTCGAATGTTGGGCACCTCAGCGTGGTGTAATGGTTAGCAATCTTGCCTCGCTAAAACGGTTACGAGTGAATAGTGAGTTCGATCCTCACTGGGTGCTCCACACTTTCTGCCGTGTGCCACATCTAAGCTACGATTAAAAAATTATTTGGGCATGGTGTAATGGTTAGCAAGCTTGTCTCGCTAAAACGGTTACTGAATAGTGAGTTCGATTCTCATTGGGTTCCCCATACATTTGGCCTTGTGCCACATCTAAGCTACGCTTAGAAAATCGTCTGGGCGTTGTGTAATGGTTAATAAGCTTGTCTCGCTAGAAGAATTCCGACTGAGTAGTCAGTTCGACCTCATACTTTCGGCCTTGTGCCACATCTGAGCTACGCTTGGAAAATCAGTATTTTCTAACTACTGTTCCATTCTCATCATGGATGGAAATGAGATCTCAATTACTTCTGAATCCTACAAGTGGCATTTCCAGTCATAATAATAGAAAACTGCCATCATTTACTCTGTATGGAATCTCCGAAACGTTGTTAAGATTTGAGAAGAAAAACAAGAGAATTCCCTTTGTCTACATCAATGTACGACACTAACCTATAATAAAGTGATAGTTTGTCATTCTATGAAATAAGTTTCCATGTAAAGGTCTACAAAAAATCACAGTAATTTTGACACAGTTCAATATATAATAATATATTTGATGATATAGTCAGAACCAGAGGTTTAAAATGTGGGCATAAAATAAGTTTTCGAATAAAAGTCATTAAAAAAACGAAAATAACTTTTGATACACCCTAATAATTTTTCTTTACGTTTTATATCGTCTTTTGAGTCGACGAATTAATCTTTCTGATTTGACAGACCGGATAACCATAATGAAGAAATCGGAACTTTAAATTTCCAAATTATTACCCACCTGAGTTTATGACTTAAGACGTGAGTGTTTTCCTGCGTGAGAATCGAGGAAATAAATCCTTGTCCGTTCAAATCTGATGTGATGATGAATATGGCTGCTGGAATTAGGTTGCTCCAAAAACCGATACATTTTAATCTGTGAGTTATTTTGAATAATGCTTCACACAAAAGTACAATGTCCGAAGCGTATTAAAAAAAAAAAAAAAAAAAAAAAAACAATAACCCACACATGAGAAAGAACGAATTTATTATCAGGTGTCTTTGGAATTGGCCTGGTTCCATAAGATTCACAGACCACGCCAAAAACGGTTTATCGCTGGCAAAATAAAGATTTCTTTGGAGCATTGCCAACTTCGATGTTAAATCCGCTTTTATGAATCGAACGCAGTAACAAAAGAATGAATTATGCACTAAATTGTAGGGCGCCCCGGTGATATTAATTGCCTCACTCCCTCTTACCCTCTTTACCTACATGGGCATTTATACTTCCTTTCCAAGTCTTCATCGCTTCTATCTCTGTCTCTGTCTCTCTTTCTCTCTCTCTCTCTCTCTCTCTCATTCATGTCTCTCTCCACCGCTCTCTCGCTTTATCCTATCTTTCTATTCTCTTATTATCTTCCCTTTCTCCTCATCTCACTACCACGTCCCCCTCTCTCTCTCTCTCTCTCTCTCTCTCTCTCTCTCTCTCTCTCACTCACTCACTCTCCGGAGTAATTGAATAATGTAATAATTTTCCAGTCAAGGGTAAATTATCTATCTTTCTTATCTTTACACATGATAGCACCTTCTGTCCCAGTTATTTCCCACCCCACACTCATCATTACCCTTTTGACGGTAAACCTCTAGCTTGAGTGACTATCGGGCCTTTAATTTATATTTAGCAATAATAAATAAAAAAACAGTTCTAGAACTTAAAACGGAATGGAGGGAAACCGGTTCGTATATAAGGTAAATTATATGAGTTCACTTCGTTTAATAAAGGCATGGCACCACTTTACCCTGAAATATTTCTTATTGCCAGAGATCTGCTTAAATGCCTCTTCACTGGCATGTCATGATATTTGAAGTTGTATAGGACTGTTCCGTGAGAATGGAAAACTCTTTAGCATCACCAAGGTAGCTGTATAGAAAGGACTGTTAAACGCTCGGAGTGAACACATATACACACACAAACACACACGCATATAATACGTAAATATTCACCTTCCTCTCTGTCAGGAGCTGATAGCTTAGGGGAAAAATCTCAAAATGATGCCAAATGAATCGAGTTCGATCCTGAATTGAGGCAATAGGATTTCTCACTGATGAGCTGTGATACAATGAAACAATCTGACTGTGGATATATATATATATATATATATATATATATATATATATATATATATATATATATATATAAAAAAGACCACTAAGGTACCATTACAATAATTTATTTAACCAAAATCCTTTTTAAAGGACTCCGGATCATCAGGTAACAATTCCAACAACGAAATGAAAGGAAAAATGGGATTAGAAATTGATGGGTAGTGTAATTTTTGTAATTTAACAGGGAGGATGATAGTTGTAGTTAACGAGACAAGGAAGAGTATAGGGAGGGGTTAATTTCATATTTCTCTTAAGCATGCTTTATATTGGGGTAGGAGGAGTGACAGAACCGTGACCTATTTAAATGGTTAACTTAACGGAAATGATATATAGGAATGGGAGGGTAGTGGGGGGAAAAGAAAAGGAAAAATGGAAAGGAGAGATGAGACAGATGACAGTAATACAGAGCTCTCATTGGATTTCCTCCTTGGAATTACCCATTCGGTTTACCAAGTTCTTTGTAACTTAACTCTATATATTTATATATATATATATATATATATATATATATAGACAGAGAGAGAGAGAGAGAGAGAGAGAGTGTGTGTGTGTGTGTGTGTGTGTGTGTGTGTGTGAAAATTCAGAACAAATAAAAATATAAAAAAGCCAATATGAATAAAAACAAAACGAATACATTCATGAGCTTTCTTAAATATAAAATGTAGAAAATACAACGGGACATTGTTTACAAGCAGATACAATGGTGAAAATGAGAATGGAAACACTAGGTGGGACACATTAAGAGAAGCTTTAATAGGATGGGCAATCGAGAACATGCCCCAGAAAACTAGACTTGATTAGAAATGGAGATGCGGAAAAAGAAGCAAAAAACAATGCCACGGAGAGGCACAGAATATAGGACACCGAACCAAGAAATAGAAAAAGGTAAGCTAAAGAGGAGTGGTTTAATGAAAAAGAGAACTAAGTGAAGAAAAATATGCTTATCAACACGATGCATCCAAGAACAAGACACTGATAAATGAAAAAAAAAACCCCAAAAAACAATTAAAAGATGGAAAGAATGTCTCGCAGAATTCTTCCACGAGGAGAGAATAATTGGTAATACACAGAAATCTCCAAAGACCAGAAATATAAAAAAAAAAATGAGTGGAATCAATAATGGCGAAATTAGACAGAAACAAAGCGGAAGGGCCAGACGGAATTTTAATAGGGATGTTGATAGCCATAAACGTGTTCACTATGAACAAGATCATGGCCCTTGAAGCGCTTAAAAAATTTTGACTTTTTTCTATTTCTCCTTAAACCTGTTCTGCCATCTTTTTGTAAAGTATGTCAAGCGTTGACCTCTTTCCCTTTATCTATCCTGTGAGTATCAGATTCCATTTAAAAATGCTTGATAGAAGTAACTAATTAGCTTGTATATCTTAAAAATCATAAATTTAAAAAAAGATAACTCTATTTCTTTACACTTGGTCTGTTGTTGCCGTTATAATTTACTAAATTACTCAGTTAATCAAAGCAATTAATTTTTAAACCTAAGAGTGGAAATGACCTCAGCATTTAAAACACAGAAAATAATTAATATACTAAGTGAAATAAATTGTAGCATTTTAATAACATATTTTTTTTTTATCATTTCACTCCAAGCAAGGCGGGACTGCCAACAGTATAGAGAGGATTACACGAAGTGAAAGTGAGAGAAAAGACTGAGTATAGGGGGGGATCGAGGAAAGAACAAAAGATGGGCGGGATTTAAGAAGACAGAAAATGGTCACTGACGTTGGATTAAAATTTTTGATGATTCTAGTTATCAGGGAGGTAAGTAAACGGATGGGAATTCCACAGGCAGGAAGTCCGATAAAAGAAACTCTTGGAGTAGAAGAAATGATTGCATTTATCTATTTCAATACTAAAACGGCGGGACCTAGTTGCCAATCTAGTAGCACGCTTCAATTCAGGAATTAGGTGACCCAGAGAAAAAACCTCGCCAGAGCATTTGCCATGAAAATATTTATAGAAACGGCAGAGGAAAGCAACGTCACATCAAAGAGAAAAGTCGAAATGTCTGGTCAGGATCGTTTAATCACAGATCGTTCTTCGTATTTTGTCAAGATTCTCGCGATGAATAAACAGGAGCACCAGACAAGATATAGCAACAGTATTCGATGCACGGACGAATGGTGGATTTGTAAATGTACAAGATGGACTCCGACGCGAAAGATATTCTGACACGACGCAAGGACCTAAGACTACTTTGATTTTTTTTAAATAAAATTCACTGAAGCTTGAAACTTTTATAAAATTCACTGAAGCTTAAATCTATTATAAAATTCACTGAAACTTGAATCTTTTATAAAATTCACTGAAACTTGAATCTTTTATAAAATTCACTGAAACTCGAATCTTTTATAAAATTTACTGAAACTTGAATCTCTTTGTCATACTGATTCCAAGAAACTTACTACTTTTGATCATTACAGTTTTTAATCAAATAATATTAGTAATTAAAGTTTTTTAATCCTTTCACCCCAAGCAAGATGGGAACACCACTAGTATGCAGGGGGTTTCAGAAAGTGAAAATGAGAGAAAAGACTGAGTATAGAGGGTGGTTGAAAAGAGAACGATTGAGGAAAGGATAAAAGATGAATGAGATTCAAGAAGACAGAAGATGACGATTGATGTTGCATTTAATTTTTTGAAGATTGTAGTTTTCAGTGAAGCAAGTAAACAGAAAGGAGTTCCACAGGCAAGAAAATAAACTTTTGGAGTAGAAGTGTTGGTTACATTTAACTATTTTTCATTAAAACGGTGGGACCTAGATGCCAATCTAGTGCCATACTTAAATTCGTGTAGTTGGGGCACAAGTGGGGAAAAATCCTGTCAGAAGAGTTACCAAAAGAATATTTGTCGAAACAACAGAGGAAAACCACATCTCATCAGTGAGAAAAGTCGAGATGTCTGGTCAGGATCGTTTACATTACAGATCCTTTTTTTGTATTTTGTCAAGGTCCTCGCGATGAATAAACAGGCGTACCAGACAAGAGATGCCAGCATTATTCAATGCACGGACGAATAGTTGGATTTATAAAGGTGAAAGATGGACTCTGACGTGGAAAAAATTCTCGGATGACTCTGATTCAACTATCTTTGCAGTAGATGCAGCTATTAATTCGACTTAGTCATTCCACTTCAATTGAAAACGGGAGGCCAAAAAAGCGCAGTGTGTTGCTCTCCAGTCGTCTAGCGTCAGATTATCAATATATAACTTAGAATACCATTACCTGCCGTATATGCAATAAAGTCACATGACACTATGAGTCCCGAAATCAGGACTAGAGAGACAGTAGATCTACCTCAGCCATAAGAATGGCGTATCTAGGGCTCGACAGTTTGAATAAGTCAATCCATCTTCAGGTTGGTTTTGGATTCAAAATGTTTTCCTTCTTCTCGACTGCTTGCTAAGCAAGGACACCCAGTCAACTATACTCTTTAACCTATATCTAAGGGAAATTCTATTAGCGCGATAGTGAACGTAACCATCTGGGCTGGAATTCAAACTCGGGACAGATTTCTTTTTCTGTCACGAGGCCAGCATATTCATATAAACCATATGTAAACCTATTGAAATGCTTTAATTACAACAAATCGGCTAATATCATTTTAGGAAATAAGCAAAGCTTTCAAACAAAGAAACGACTGTAGGCCGCAGAGGAACAAATTATGTTACTTGACCCGCGCAAAGGCGGGTACCATTGCTAGTAAATAAAATAAAATGTGTATTTTTGACAGTCTTCCAATAAACGGCTGAATTTATTTTGCGACATTGTCAGCATATCTGTGTTTGCAATCATTTGAAAGTAATGTTGGTATTTGTTAAGAACTTTCTGGTTAGATTATATAACGCCTGCACGAGAAGAATTCATATTGCCGCCTTGAAGCTCACCGTGTGGAGAGCGCATGCGTATATTGGTGGAGTGTGTGTGCTTCTTCAGACATATTAACTACTTTCATTAACAAAGGTCGTCTGGTTAAGGACGGTGAACTTTTCAAGTGGGTTTTTATCATTGTAAATTTGCGGTGATTTGTTTTCAGTTACTTTCCGTTATTTTTTATCACTCATTAGTAATTTCTTGAGTCTGCTTATGTTGATGTTTTGTTTTCAGGATCGAGTTTACAGACGTAAAACGAAATCAGAAAGAAACCGGGAAAGGTTACTGGTCTATTAACATTTTACATTAAAAATGGATATATTAACTCAGACACTCCTGATGCCTGTAGATAAATGTAATATATATATATATATATATATATATATATATATATATATACATATATATATATATATATATATATATATATATATATATATATATATATATATATATATA